GAGAGGCCAGATGATGTGGGGAGCTCTTGTTTCTCTAAAGTGGTGCATCAAGATAGTGACTCAGCCAGATGTGAGGTCAGGCTCCTGGTCCTCAGTGCCAGGGTGCTGACCTGAGAGGCTTGGCAGACAGGTGAGTGCAATCATGGGCCTCTCCAAACTATGCAATGACAATTTGTCTCATATTTGAGCAAAGCAATAACTGTCACTGGGGAAATGGCTCTCCAATTTAAGGAGTATTAATCACCTAATTAACCAGAACACCTGCTCATAAAATGCATCCCACCCAGGGAACCAAATTAAACAAAGCATGAGGATGTGCCATGCAGATTTGGTGGTGGCATCTGCATCCTTGGCTGGCCTCATTGGCACTGGGGTTCACAAAACTCTCTAGCCAGCTGTTGTGCTTGATAGAAACTCCAGAACACCAGCCTTGTTTAGCAAGCAATGATTAGTGCAAACTCAGAGAAACTCCTCTTGCAACTCCACGGATGCCCCTGATGTGCTGGGGCATGTTCTGAGTGTTTTGCATACGTTAACTCTCTAATCTTCACAACAACCAAATAAAGTCCTCTCTTGTGGCAGAAGTTAGCTGAATGCTCACAGATCCAATTTCTTCTTCCTGGGTACAAAGGAAGACTACATTTCCCAGCCTCCCTTGGAGTTAGGTTGGGGCCATGTGCCTCATTTTGACCAATGGAGTATGTGCAGAAGTGATGCATACCACTTCCAGACTTAGTCTTACATAATCAGGCAAGCCTTCTCTTTTTGTTGGCTGGCCAAATAGGGGGTTATCCAGTGAAGGACCACAAAGTGCCCTGAGATAATAGTAATGTCACAGAAAGGAAGACACCAGCATCCCTGAATGAGCACATACAAGGCAGTGGCCAGTCTGTAACATGAGAAAATTTTAAACTCACCACTGAGATTTGGGGGTTGTTTATTATAGCCATTAGCATTAATTACCCAGGTTGATATACCAGTGTAATCTTGGCAATTATGTTTTCCCAAATCACAAAGGACCAATCTTAGGGAAAGCTACTATCTATGTGGTATGATTTCAGAAACAGTAGGAAATTCACCCCTCCCCAAAATAATATCTCCTCCTATTGGTTAACTGAGGAAATACTTTTAATTAGTAACCTTCATTACCTGCCCTTTATTTATTTCTTATTTATTCATTCAATAGATGAAAGATAATCTTTTCATCAATGGGTGCTAGAATAATTGGCTATCTCTCTGCTAAATAACAACCTTGATTCTTTTCCTGCGCTATATACAAAATTAACTTGAATTGATCCATAAAATCTTTGAGAAGATGTGGGAGAAAATTGTTTTGAGCTTGAGTTAGGCAAAGTCTTATTAGATAAAATGCATAAAGCACAGGCTGTAACAGAAAAAAACTCAAAAGTTGAACTTAATCAAAATAATAAACAGCTGTCCTTTAAAAATATTGTTAAGAAAATAAAAAGATAAGTGACAAACTGTCATACAGTTAGTGGCTTAAGACAACAACAATTTCCTAACTCACAGACCAGAAGTCCAATGTGAATCTCACCGGGCTAAGATCCAGGTGTTGGCAGAGCTGCATGTCGTTCTGGAGGTTCTAGAAGATAATGCATTTCCTCGCCTTTTCCAGCTTCTAGAGGCCACCTCTCTCCCTCGGCTCATGCCTGCCGCCTTTCAGTAATTTTCATCCTGACTTCTTATTCTTTCAGCTGGTTCTCTCTTCTGATCCCATCTTCTACTTTTAAGGACCCCCTGAGATTACGTTGGGCACACCCAGGTCAATCTCCTTATTTTAAAGTCAGGCCATTTGCAATCGTAATTTCATTTGCAAACTTAATTCCTCTCAGCCGCATAACCTAACATATTCACAGGTTCTGAAGATGAGGACATGGACGTCTTTGGGGAGCCATTACTCTGCCTACCGCATAGGACGTGCATATGTTCAGCTTTATCTTACTGTGTAACACTCTTCCAAGGTGTCTATTCTAATTTACACTCCACGACAGTGGAGTAAAGTCCCAATTGCTTGAAACCTTTGCCAATGCCTATTTTTTTCACTTCATTCATTTTGGTGGCATTATACTGGTATCTGACTGAAGTTTTAATTTCCATTTCCCTAATGACTAAGGATGTTGAGCATCTTTTTCAGTGTGAACTGGCTTTTGGAAAGCTTCTTTTTTGAAGTACTTATTTGAGTCTTTTGCCCATTTTTCTTTTGGGTTTTTGTGTTTATTATTAATCTGTAGGAGTTCCTTAGATATCATGGGTAGCAATCCTTTGTCAGATAAATGCACCGTGAATATCTTCTCCCCCTCTGTGGCTTGCTTCTCACTTTCATAGTGGTGCCTTTTGACAGATAGAGTCACTTAATGCTAACATAGTCCAACTGTCTTTCAGTGTATTTTACGGTTATTCTATTTAAGAACTATTTGCTTAAAGATATTTTTCCGTGTTTTCATTTATTTTTTATATTTCGACCTACACTACATCTGGGTTTTTTGTGTAATGTGAGGTATAAATCAAAATTCAATTTTCTCATATTGCTATCCAATTGATAAAAAATTAATTTATTGAAAAAATGCTTCCCCTCCTACTGCATTTCAGTTTCACCTCTGCCATAAAATGAGTAAACATATTTGTGTCTTCTATTGACTTTTTAATTTGAAATGCAATACTTTTAATTTTTAAAAGATCTGCCAATTTCTTTTACAAATAGGTTTTTTCAAATTTCCAAAACAGTACTCTATAATTTTGTAAATGGTACTTCAAATATTCAAAATGTACTTTTTAAATATAGTCTCTATCATAGAGTTCCATTGTTTCAGTCTTTTGGAGCATTAGTTCCCATTTTGTAACGTCTGCCATTCTCTTCATAGTGGACTGCTTCCCTACGTAGCTTTATTTTGTTGATGCAATCTTCTTTTCAATGAGCAGTGCGTGTGTGTATGAGAATCACATGCGACACAAGTTTTGGCTTAACACGTAAGAGTTTATTTTTCCCTCATTCCAAGACTGAAGCTGCCTTCTAAGCAGTGTTCCAGCAATCCAGCTGTTTCTGTCCAGTGGCTAAACTGCCTCAAGATGCAGCTGCCACGGTCACTGAGGAATGAAATAGGACGAGCAGGAGATCCAACGCCTCCTTTTCTGTGCTTCAGCCCAGAAGTGACCTGTCTCACTTCCACAGACAATCCATTGCCTAGAAATAAGTCACACGGCCCTAACTGCAACTGGCCTGGAGATTGTGGGGGAACACGTGGATATTTGGTGAGCAGTAAATGCTTCTGCTTTTTAATCACAAATAGTCCTTTTCCCTTTTCTTCCCAGTTGTAGAAAACATCCAAACCTTCTCTTCCTTCCCAGGGAAGCGACACAAAGGTAGAATCAGTCAACTCATCCAGTTCCGACTCCATCAGATCCAGACATGGTTCCTCTTTGCCCTGAGGTCTGTGAACCAAAAAGACAGATATCTGCCTCTCTTCCCAACACAGGGGTCGAACACTGGCAGGGTTTCAGGGAACACATCCATACGTTCAGAAAGGGGGCAAGGGCGGAGCACAGCAGTCACCTGTCGGTAGCCGTGCTGAAAGGGCATGGGGCAGAGCTGCGAGGGCCCACTTCCATGGGAAGGGAAATTTCTCATCATTATTTCGTTTCTCTAGGAATGTTATATAATATCAGGCTCATGGCAGGCTCATTCTTCTGTTCGTGGCGTCTGCTGATTCTCCCTCATGATGGACTACTTTCTGCCTTCTTGTGCATTTTGTCACTTTTGTTTGTGAGCTGGTCATCGGTGGGCATTAATGCGTGCATGAGTGCGGTAGTCAGTCATAGGGAAGTATTTCTGCCAAGTGCCTCAGGAAATTCGCCAGCCCAGGACTGCTGTTTTCAAACATCAGCTTCTCAGTTGGAGATTTTTATGTCATAAGTAGGGTAAATTTAAACTCACATTCACCCAAGCTCAACGCTGGTGATTTGATTTCTCGAGGGAAACTTCAGACTTCTCTGAGTCACAGGGCATTTGGCTAAAGACTTTCTTGTCCTTTCCCCAATCTCATTGCCTAACTCTCTTTCCCAGAGAGAATGGGTATTCTAAAGATGGTCTGTATCCTTCCCACTTGTGTATTTTTACTTAAACTGTATGTCTAAAATAGCATACAGTATTGAAATATATATACTATTTAAAATTTACATTTAATATATACATTTAAAATTTATACGAATGGCATCATATTTGTGGTCATTCACTGCAACTTGCTTTTCTCTCCCAAGTAAACATATATTCAAGATTTAAAATGCTGATAAATACAGATCAAGCTCATTCATTTTAATTGCTTTGTAGTATTCTACTGTAAAAAAAAAAAATCCCTCAAAAACTCAACAGTTTTTCATTTTTCTATAAATAGAAATTTAGGTTGTTTCCAATTCTTCACTATTATAGATTACTGCTGCACGAAAAATCTCTGTACACATTTGTGGATGTGTCTTTGGGCTGTAATTGTTGTGGAGCTACTGGGTCATAGGATTTGGACATCCTTAACTGTATTAAATATTGACACATTACTATCCTAAGTGGTCATGCCAATTTACATTCCTAAGCATTTTGATAGATAATGTTGACTTTTCAAAATCCAAGTCAAACTTGGTTTTGTTAGGTCTCTTACTTTCTTCCTCATATGCTAGATATAAATGTTACCTCATTGTGGTTTTAATTTGCAATTATAAGATTACTACAAGGTTGAGATTATTTTTCATGATTATTGGCTTTTCAGGGTTCTTTGGTGAATTCTTCCAGTTTTCTATTGTAAATTAATGTGTCCTTTATTGATTTATGAGGAAATTTTATGTTTCTGGATGTAATCCTTTGTCAGCTCTGTGAGTAGTATTTTCTTCCAGTTTGTGGGTTGAAAGACTTTCCTAGAGTCCTAAGAATCCTTACTTGGTGGAGGTTTATGAAGTCTATAGCTAACACATATTGTTCATACTTGTTCACCTACCTTGGTGTAGTGCAACATGCATACCCAGGAGGAGGTGACATTTCCATAGTCCTTGGGGACCCACACAGGTACTGCTCTTAAAGCTGGATTGATTTCCTCACTGAGTTGTGTCTTTGGGACTCTGGCTGCCCGTAGGATCCCAGGTTCACTGGTCACGGTAGACCTGGAGCCACTTCACTTGATGCCACAAGAGTGAAAGCTGAAAAGACCAGAAGCCAAAAAAAAAAATCACAATTTTAGCAAGAACTCACCAGCAGCCATTTGGGGACTCTAGGGGCCATGGGGAGACTTCCTATAAGCCTTACAGAGACTGGAAATGGTGCCTAGAGGCAGGATCTCTGAATTGGAAACTTTTTCTGACATGGAAGACTTATAACCATTGCACAAGGTTTCTACCACAACTTGTAAGGTTTAATTTTGAGAAAGCATCATAGAAGCAGGGCTGCAATTTATATTAGAGCCGCCACACATCTATGCCCTTTCTTGGCTTTTGTTTAAAGAGCACTGGAGAGCCTTAGCTGGGCAGCTGGGCAACGACCGCCTTCTCCTGAAGTCTCGTCCTCGCTCTGTCCAGTTAACGACACGCGCATGCAGTGTAGGACCAACCATGTAGATGCTGTTCCGGCTCAAATGGGCATCACTGATGGGCCCAGGCCCTGGAGGAGAGGGCAGAAGGAAAGGCACCCCAGAACCTAGGGCCTTTCTTCCAGCTGGTTCTTTACAGAAGCCAAACTCTTCCTCAGCCTGTCAGTCCCATACTGGGCCTGGCCCCGGCAATCATGTCTGCTCAGCATTCCCGCAGATGGATATCGTTTTCCAGAATGGAGTTTGGGAAATGATATTTTTCTTCTGCCATGATAACATCCCCACAATTAGGGAGGGAAAAGCCAGAAACTGATATTTTACAAGGTCACGCTTCATTTTCCCCGGCTTGACGCAGCCTAAGGAAAAGGGTCTGGTTTCTAAGAAGCCAGTGGGGACTCTAGGGGCCGAGTATCTGCTGGGATCTGTGCCTTGGGAGTTTGGTGAGTCTTTTGCAGAGTCTCCTTAAATGGGAGACTATAAAATCAGGCAGAGAAATGGTTCATCATGCAGCCAGTTGGTGCGGATTTGTCAGATCAATGAGGGCCAATTCTCAGTGTTCCCCACAGGGCTTCCTAACGTCCTGGGACACTCAGCTGAACTATCCATTAAGAATATTTCCCCAAGTCATTTGTATTAGATTACAGGCTATAAACTGCTTATTGTTGCCTGTCCACCATAAATATAAAGCAATTATTTTTAATGCAGGCAGCTGTTGGGCTGGCTTCTCCAAGATGCTTTGCCCAGGGACTCACGTTCTGCTGTTTTCTCCTTCATCAAGTGCATTTCTGATTGTTTTTCTGCTCTACTGCATGCCACACACATGGTGGTGGTGGGGGGGTATAAATTTTCCTGGCAGAGCTTTGTTTGGACAAGGCTTTCTATAAATATCCAAAAGGAACTGAAGGTGCAGAGGGGCAATTTAAGTTATACAAAATCTGGTGACTCAAGCCCTCATCACAAACTCTATTTTCTTAAAATGACCTTGGAAGCACCAACCCATTTCTTCTAACCTCCAGCAATAGGATTTTGGAGTCTGGACAGCAACCATGCAGGAGCTGTGGTCATGGAAAATCACAGACAACAGAACTGCCGCATTCCAGTGGGAATAAATACTTCAGATCCTCTCGCCTCTTGCCCTCCAGTCTCCTGTTGGATTCTTCACTGGCTGAACCCAAAGAGAAGACAGAAAGCCAAAGGAATCCATTAAGATCAGTGCCGTACCTCCAGCCAGGTATAAAAGAGGGCAGAGAGAGAGGCAAATGCAGAATAACCAGCACAGAAGGTTTTTTAGCCTGTACGCAACATGGCCAGATTTGTATTACAGAATAGATTATTTGGACTCCCCTGTAGACCAGTGGCCGAGATTAAGAGTGGGAGGGCCTTAAAGAGGCATCTGTAGTAATTAAAGGAGCAATAATAAGTGGTAGGCTAAGCCAGAGGGGTGACTGAGTTGATGAAGGAGAAGTGAACCAATTAGGGATTTCTAGCATAGCAGAGCTTGGCGAAGACTAGAAGAAACTCCGCAGCCTTCAAATCATACCCATTCATTGCTGTGCTATAACTAAGGCTCAGAAAAGAGAGAGGATTTGAGCCAGAGGCAGAGTTTCCCCCAGCCTCCGCCCTCTGCCACACTGCTTCTGTCAGCATGCTCTGCCTGGACTAGACCCTGCTCCTTCACTTTACTCGTCAGGACAAATTCCTTCCTCTTACTGCACCTAAGAGTAACCTTAGCAATACTTACCCCAAGAACCTTGACTCTGTCTTCTTGACTGCAGTTTTCTCGACTCCATGACCTCCTTAGTGGGGAGACCTGAACATTAGCAGCCCGGTAGAGTTGTATGCCTTGAGCTCACCTCAGTGGGTCAAAATAAACAAGGAGTTCTGGAGAAGCAAAGCATGACCACTTTTTACATTTCTAATAGCAAACAATTACTGAATGCTGACTGTATGTTGGACAACATTTAAACCCCAAAACCAAAAGGGTGGTATATATATTAACACCTTTTTACAAATGAGCGAATTGTGGCTCAGACAGGTCAAACAATTTGCCTAACATCCACAGTTGGTAAGTGGAAAAGCAGAGCCTCAAACCCAGGTTTCCCTGTCTCTAAACATCTATGGTCTTAACCATTACTCCATACTGCCTATCACCTACTTGGCATAGCACTGTGCAGCGTCTCTTGTTTGGGGCACTGGGATTGGGAGGGAGACTTCCAGGCATCCAAGAGTAGGTAGTGGTAAAAAGTCAAAGATGGCGATCATCAATCCCTGCCTTCCCTGTGTGTAAATGATCCTCTTTGTATCAAGAACAGTCATCTAATTTCCCTGCCCTTGAATCTGGGCTGGCCACAGTGAGTTTTTGTTTTAATCAACTGAAATCTGGGATTTCTGAGGCTAGGTCACTAAAATGCTCCCTCTTAGAAGCCAGCTGCCATGCTGTAAGTAGCCCAAGACACATGGAAAGGTCACATGGAGACATTCCAGGTACAGCCTCAGCTGAGCTCTAAGCCAAGAGCTAAACATAAATGGAGCCCATGTGAGTGAGCTGTCTTGGACATCCAGGCCAGTCGAGCCTTCAGATGACTATAGCCCCAGCCACTTTCTGACTATAACTATATGTAAGAAATCCAAGTGAGAACCACCCAGATGGGCCCAGCCTCCTAAGTCTGCAGGGCTTTCCTTTCCTGTGAATGCCTCAGGGTACAAGTGAGAGGCCCTGCCAGGGAAGATGGGCAGCACCTTGGATCACAGCTCTCTGCTTCCACTCATTCCCAGCTCTGGCCACGCAGGCTCTACACCAGCATGGAGAGAGGGCATGGAACAGATTCTAGGAGCTGCAGGACTTACATGAGAAGTAGGCAAACCAGGAATGAAGTAGAGGACAATGTGGGCCTTGCAGGAAAGCTTTCATCCTAGAAAGGAAAAACACACACAACACCCATACTTTATCTTAGCCCAGGACTAGATTAAAGCCTGGGTCTAGCAGGGTTTCTCAGCCTCAGCACTATTGGCGGTTTGGACCAGATAATTCTTGCTTGTGGGGATTATTCGGTGCCTTATGTGATGTTCAGCAGCACCTATGACACCCACACTAGGTGCCAGTAGCACTCAGCCCCTACTCGTCCTAGACATTGCCAAATGTTCTGAGGGTATGGGGGGCTGGATTGCAGAACGACCCCTGGCTGAATACCACTACCTGCTTCCTTCTCTCTGCTCTGAAACTTTCCCTCTGGGATGCTGAGAAAAACCTGTGACTTCCGGCCACAGCTGTCCTTCACCCTTCCAGCTGCATGACCAACGCAGCATTCCCTCACCTGTTTCCATCAGGCTTCCCTCTCCCCAGTCTTCCCCCGGCCAGATGGCACTCCAGCTCTCCAGAGAGCATTTCATAGACATGATGTGGTGCTGCCGGGTGAGTCTGTTCTATATTGCAGGCTATGGATGGTACAGGCCGGATTAATGGGTGAGCCACTAGGCAGCTGCCCACAGCACTGCTCAATAGGGGCCAATGAAATGTCACTGGAATAAAACTAGGGTAGGGAGCCAGTTAACTCAGGTCTCCACACATGACTGCTGACAAAAATGGTGAGACATAAACTGGCTTAGCTGCAATTAAACATTCCCTACTCCTGCCAGCTTATCTCTAGCGATGTTTTTTGTGGCAAGTACATGCAATTTACATGATGTGTATAAGGCTTTACCACTAACTTTGAGACTGGCCCCCTGAGAATTCCCTGTAACAGCCCAGCCTGCTGAAATTCTGAAACAGAAAAATTCACAATGCTGTATGTGCTCTTTTCTGGGGATGATTTATTAGAATGCCTGCATTAAAAGAGTTTAATATGCCTCTCAAGACATTGTCTAGTTCAGAAAATCACATGTAATATGTACATGAAAAATAAATCTTTATTTTGAACATAGAAAACTACCTTTATTGTTTTTTATATGCCTACAAAGTATCAAACAGATATGTAGAGAACAATAGTGTGAAAGGCCCCAAATTATTCACCTGGCATGTCCACATCTCAGTCTAGTCTGGGTGCACTGATTGTGCTGATGGGAGGTGAAGGGGCAGACACTCGGAGAAACTGCACTGTAAACCTTTTCTCTTTACTTTCATTTATTTAAAATCATACCAAAATGAATCTTCAAAGTAAACTTAATGTGGAAATAAGGTAAAAACAAAATAAGAAACAGTCTGGAATATAAGTCTGGAAATGGGGAGGAGCAGCTCATCTATTTGACTTGGGTTTTGGGGAAGACTAGGTACTAAAGGCATAGGTAAGAGCCTCAGATCTTTTCCAGCTTCATTAGGTAGATTCAGCTCCTCCTCCAATTAATACTCTTTGACTCATTGGCCAACTACTCTCTCCTGCACCCCAAGCAAGGAAGTACTCACAGTTGTTGGAGGTGAAAAAGCCTCCCCGCTGCATGTTTTCTGTGTGCAATCTCAGGGGCACAAGTGTGTTACTCCTAG